TTTAATGTCAACTTAAGTTTCATACTAAGTATGGCTTAAGATGAAATTCAAACTTTTCTCTAAAGAGATTTCCAACAAGTTAGCTCTTTACATCAGAAATAATTATCACTGCTTCAAGAAGCTAATATTTAGTATGATTACCATTGTAAAAAAGAATGTATTAGGTTAATCCAGTGGGGGCTAGACAGCTGCATAAAGGGGATATGGATGCTTAAAGTAACACTAAATCCACTTCACATTGTACAGGAGCCACCACAGGACACAGAGGTGCAGAATAACACGGTCAGATGCCAAACATTGCTACAGACTGGGACAACACATGATGCTACATATCCTAGAACAAGAGTGGAGACAACTCTTAAGGGGGGGTCAGGGATATTTATACAGCCAAGGGGGTCACTGCCATGGTTTTTAAGAGTGTTTATTTCACCCTACAACAACCTTGTTGTACAACATGGCTCACAGAGTGTTCTTAATCCCCTCAGAAAGCCCCAGTTCTCAGTCAAATAGGTGCATTTTTATCACATTCCTGTAACTGTCTCCCCAGTCATTTATTCACATGATAAAATCACGTGTCTCAACTCATTTCTGCAGGAAAAAAGCTCGCCCTCCTTTGTCAAACCGAAGCAGCCACCCTGGGTGGATGTGCAAATACCAGGTCACCAGTGCCCCCAGTACAGGGGCAGCAGGAGGAACAGGGGGGCAGACGGCAGCAGGGAGAGCGGGGCTGGTAACGGAGTCAACCGCTCACCTCCCCGGCGCGATCCAATGTGACAGTGACACTTCACAGCACATTGCACCCGATCTCATTTGAAGCTGACAAAGATTGTTTCTGTTTTATATCTATTGGTTTATTAATGGGCTACAGCCTCTTAAGCAGATGCATATTCATTAGATAGCCAGCTGTTAGGAGCTTCCCAGATGTCGAAAGGAGCGCTGTCTCGGAATGCTTTCTTTTTTCTCCTTACCATGAAACAAAGTAATTGTAGCTCTGTTAAAGAGCCAGTTAATTACTGAACCAGTACCTTATGGCACATGGTTAAAAAAAAAAATAATCTGCAACTTTGTGAGGAGTAAGGACTGTTTTTCTAAAATCAGCAATGAGCTCTCATTTCTCTGTATTGTAGATGTGCAGACCTCACATACATGCACAGTTAGATTACTCCTGGAGGTGGGTGTCAAGAACCCCCAGCTACACCAACATTTTAAACCTTTTTTCATTTTCCACCCACTGCAGAATTCTGCCTTAGCTCTTTTTCTCCCTCATCCAAACAGCAGCCATAAAAGCACATCAAAAATGAAAACAAAACATGTTTGTGCTTTTAAAGGCTGCTGTATCTGAGAGAAGGACATTTCCCCAGCATCCTAGATAGATAAAATTATAACGGGATCATCTAACAAACTCCTCTAGTTGCTTTAGCAACTTATTTTTTCCCTTTCGTTTTTTTTCCCTTGAAGCCCTAAGGAGCAGGTCATAGGAGCAGGGCTGCACTAGCCATCTGCCCCTGCCACCCCAGGAGGCCATTCTCCCACTGAAATATTTGTCCAAAATTCACATTATGAAGAAAAGTATTAACAGTGATGTTACATTTCTGGCAATCCAAGTTCCATCTCATCCTGTAGCAACAGCCTCCAAGGAGCAGGGAATATGGTGCTGCTTTCTGCCAGGCAGAGCTGCCCCACACTTATTAACAGAGGAGGGAGGGGGCAGCTGCTGCCCCAGAGCAGCCCAAGCAGCTCCTGGGTGGAATAACTGGAAACCTTCAGACACTCACTGCTTAGGGTCCAGTTCTCTCATTACTGCTTTTCCTTATTGCCAGCCCAAGGTGTCAGTTAATACCTGCAATCATATAATAACTGAGGTTCTGAGCATTAACTACAAGCTTACTCTGCCATTAAATTAAATATTTTGCTTAAAGTAAAGCAACACACGCTAAGACCCTGTGGGTTTGCCTAAAACAATTCTGAACTGTATCCAGCAATTGCTTTGAAGAAAAATGAAGAAAAAAAAAAAAAGAACACCTTGGATGGGAAGTGAAGGTACTATACAGTGTCATATGCTATAAAAGTATTTACAGTCATGCACAGATGAATGTGGAAGCAATTTTGTAGCATGACTCCTGGAGCAAAGGCCTCAGAGAATAAAAATGTCTTTAGATATTTGTTACCCTGTTATAGTTGATATCACCTTGAGTATACAATGCCTGCCTGCATTATGTAAACACTTCATTGATAAATCCCTCCCCCACCTCCCTTAAGCTGTGTCAGACTGTTCTTAGGTGACAGATAGAGTTGAAACAGATGCTGCTATAAATACCCTTGTTTAGCTGTTTTGAATATAATTTCTTTTGTAGAACATAGGGGATGCTCAAGTTACCACTGAACCTCCACCTGTGCAGGAATTTTTCTGCTGTACACATCACCAGGCATCATTTTCTAGGAGCAATTCCATAAACATGCAAGGAGAGACTGAGCCTTCCTGCTGTACACATCACCAGGCATCATTTCTAGGAGCGATTCCATAAACATGCAAGGAGAGACTAAGCCTTCTTCATAGGTACAGATACACTTTACAAAGCATTTCAGTAATTTTATCTGAACTCTTAATAAAGCTTCTAAATGCAAAGGTGACACTCTGCTTCCTGCAAGCAGCCAAGAAGAGTTAATGGCACCTGATATACAACTCCCTGCAGACCCCAACCCCGGAGCCCTTGGGACCCTGCCAGGATGAACAGGAGCCCGCAGGTACCAGCACGAGGTGCAGAGCACCCCTCGAGCAGGCAGGGAAGGCCCCGGGAAGCCAGGCTTCTCCTGGAGGACAGCGGGAGGGACAGGACCATGCGGGACACAGGCAAGGCCCAGCTGGGCTTCAGAGCAGGTAGCAGTTACAGCTGGACCTGGGGTCAAAAATGCTGGGCTTCTAATTGCACTAACTGATGTTTGAGGTTGCAGATTCAATCCATACTAGACAGCAGTGAGTGGGTAGTTTGCCACTGACTACAGTGAAGCCTGTTTTCATTTTCACCCTTCAAAGTCATTCCTTTTCTACTGAAGCAAACACTTGCAAACCATTTTACCTCCAGACTATATCCTAAGGATAGTATAGCTAAGCAGCACCTTTGCCTATGACCTATGACTTCCAGGTACCACATTCTCTTCATCTGAACAGCAAAATAAGTCCTTCATACAGCTGGATTCCATCATTGCAGGATAGAGTTTAGTGGGGATGCACCTGACTCATGTTCCCAAGGTCTTTTTAATGTTTATTTTGGTTTAAAGGACATCCTTCTGTTCCACCTGCAAATAGACTTGTTTGATAAGAAAATTCTCTCCAAGCTCTAGGCAACACTTTTCATAATTAAGGTACCAGTCCATGAGAATAATAAGAACATTAACATTAAACAGTTCAGTACTACAACGACTAATTAAGGCACTGCATCCATTATAACTTAGTCAACAACTAGAGAAATAGCCAAGTGTTTTACACTGGAGTTGCTCTAAACCCTAACAAATATATTTCATTATACTTGGTCTCTTGGCTGGAGGCTAAGTCATGGAAATCCCAGTAAGGAGATCTGAGCAACCTAAACCAAGTTATCTTTAAATTGAAAGTCAACTCTTTAGCTAGCTAAGCTTAGCTCAAAAGGACACGGGTATGAAGAGGCTCCCCCTGCACTGTGCCCCCACAGCATCACTAAGCTTGTGACGGACTCTGGTTTCGTTTTCCTTGCCGCCCTCCTGCCTTCAGAACTAGCCCCTTCTGCCCTCTGCGAGCAATTCTGCATATTTTGAACCAGGTTGAATCTTCCCATCTTTAGAACCAGAGGTTTGTAGCTGATTATTCTAAAGTTTAAAGGTTTCAGAACAAGCAGCAGAGCCATCTCTCATACCCAGCCGTTAGAGCCTGCCTTGATTACTTTGATGTAACAACACTTGAAAGCTCCTATTCTTTGAAACTAATTTAAACACATTGAATTGTTGAAAGATTAAAAACCGCAGTCAGCTAATTACACTCACTCTCATCTCTTATTCAGCAAATGAATCACTTTTCATTACCACTTAGCTGAAGTACATGAATTTCTGCCTAATTAGAAATGTTGTAGATGGAGCATTAGCAAGGCTGGAGCGGGTCAGGATATCTTGCCTGCTTCATTTTTAATTCCTAACAGTAGAGCCAGATAGGAAAGGCTTCAGATAAGAAGTCATTAAACAATTTTAAATTATTTATAAAAATTACTTTGCCCAAATTATAATTATTTTTTTTCCCAAATGCTCTCATAAACGTCAAACAGAATGAAAGGAAAGGCAACCCAACATTGATTTTAATGAACATTTTAATGTTATGTATAACAGAACATTATGAATACAATGGAAACAAAGTTTTATCAATTTAATAATAAAAAAGAAATCCAACATAAGAAAGGGGAAGCAATAAATTTCATACCTATAGTATAGTGCTTATATTCTTAGTAATATTCCCAGCTTGTGAGTAGAAAGTCTTTGTATTTCAGATTCTAGAATCATGATTCATGTGAACTTAAGCACAGAATTACAGAAGGAAAAACAAAAACAAAACCCAAAACCTTAATTCATTCTTTTGTTTTCATTAAATCAGTAAAATCTGTGACTGCTACAGGTATCCTTTAATAATATATATATTTTACTCCTCTATTGGATTCCACAGCTGCTAATGCCATATTTACACAAAAGGATCACCAAATGTTGTATAAAAGCTAAGATCCAATGCTGTTGGATTAAGTAGGGTTATAGATTTATATAACTTAACACAATGTAATTCGTCTTATTTTTTCTTGGTAATGACGCAAAAAGTAAATATTTTTGCCTTTTGTCTACTCCCGACACTGTGAATCAGTGACCCCATAGGAATATTGGTGTTAAAAGGACACTAAGTGCCACTGTAAAAAAAAATGGAAAAAAAAAAAAAAAAGCATTTTCTGGTATTTTCTGAAAGGAAACCTTAGTGGTCTTGGATGAAGCTTCTCCCAGACCTGCACTGGACATGAGTTGGAACAGCAGAGGCCTGTAGAGCCCCAGAAATGCGTTGATTCAAATCGCTGGAAGAGGATTTTTACAATAAAAGTTTGGATAACACAGCAGTGTGGCTGGAACATTAGCAAAAGTGTATATATACATTCTGGGTCCCTTTGAATTAGCCATAATCACATATGTAAGCCATTTGTTGGACAAAAATATATATTCTTATAAAAAACTGATCATAGCATTTGAGTGACTTCAGTTGTGGATTCAGAGTGGTAGTAAAAGGAATGATCCAATTATGACAAAGCAATCAGGGAGAAGGGGGGGAAAAAAAGAAAGTCAAGCTCCTCAAGAAAAAAGAAAAGTATAAAATTAGATTTGAACACTTTTACCCAACCCCCATTCCAGTCTACCATCAAGTTTCAACATTAAAATTGGTTCTTCTACCTAGGAAAGGCTTTTGATGGTCTCAATACAAATTATTTTGCAAAATCATCTAACATTCCTCAGAAGAACCTTTCATCTCTCCAGAATTTGAATACTAATTTTTCAACATTTAGAAAATAGCTTTTGGTTCTTTACGTAGATACATAGTTTAAGTAACTGATAAAGAAAAAAAAAAAGGTATTGATCAGTGTTTTTTTCCATCCCTTCCCAGCTATGTTTGCGCAGCTAAAAATCCTTCATTCAGTCTGCCCATGTTTTACTTTTTCTTTTTTTACAATCTTTATTTGCTAAAATTGGCAAAATTTGCAAAGGCATCTTGCTTGGGTTGTACAGTCCCAGGAGTCATCGCGATATTGGGGATTCCTATTGTGCCTGTCAGGCCCATTCCGGCAGCTGGCACTCCCATGTTTATTCCCAACATTCCCTGGTTCATCATTGGTGTAGGTCCTATGGAGGCCATTCCCATCGTACCTGTCATCACACCGGGCATTCCCATCCCCACGGGAATGGGCCCTCCCATCACTGGGCTCGTCTGGGGTCGCACAGGCATCATATTGGGCTGAGGACTGAGGTTCACGGCTGCGAAGTTTTGAGTCATGACATTCATAGGTTGTTGCATATCTACAAAAACAAACGGATGCAGCGACTTCAAACAGACTGATTGGTGCTCCAGCACTTTAAGTCTTCTACGTGATCAAGACATGTAGGCCAAAGATGCGGCTCTTTTGCTCATTTCCATATTTTCTGTGTTAAGACTCATTACAAAAAGCTTTAAACATTTCATAGCAATATGTGCTACTGTGCACATGAGTTCTAGAGATTAAGAAACCTAAAATTAAGACATGGGAGTAGTGCAAGCTCTACAGCAAACCTCTGTAGCGTTACCCAGCTTCCTAGATGATCAACCTCTACTTACAAAAGACCACTTTAGCCAGAAGCAAGACAGTTCTGTTACGAGCAGAATGATATCTAAATGCATGAAAATTGTAATTAGCAAAATGTTCTATCCTTAGGATAACCTACGAAACCCCTAGAGAGCTCTGTGTGCAAGCAAAAGAGAGCACCCACAGTCACTTACTTTGTTGCTGCATCATGGTATTAAGTGATGGCTGCTGAGGTTTGGAAGGCTGCATCCCAGGTACTAAATTGTCCAAACTGATATTTACGCTAGGATCTGACCAAGTTGAGGGTAAAGATTTGCTTGCATTTTTCTGGACCATCTCTGTGCTTGTGTTATAAAGAGGGTTGGGCTTCGGCATCATCGTGTTCACACTTTGCAGAGGCTAGAAAAGGAGAGGAAAATTTGTTGGGACTGACCACATACTCAAGCAACTTGTTAATAGCCTTCATGGTCAAAACAATAGAGACAACAATAAGTCAATGAGATGATCTTTAGCCATGACCTTCAGCTCTTTCAAAGCAGTTTTGCCATCAACAGATACATCACTGAAGTTAGAACAACATTTCTTAAACTAGGAATGGCCTCAGGGTGCAGGGTGAGACTGACATGCAGGCAGGGTTGGAACTTCAAGAACTGTTTCCCTCAACAGCAAGTTGGGGAATACCTCCTTTAGAAGCCAAAACACACAACTGAAACAAGATCCTCTGGGTTTGGGACACCTGTCCTCATGTCCATCTGCCTGCTAAGCTACCCAAAGTTAGAAACACAGCTAATGGCTCTAGGGTTTAAACATCAACCACTTCTTTCCCCAACAAGGCAGCACCACTTCAGACTGAAGACCATCCCAGAGAAGACCAGCTAATACAAAAGGCTTTCCAGGAACACCTGGCACCTTTTTAGGTGGTTAGATACAATTTCTGGACAACTCTTATGAAAGCTGATCAAAACATCCAGAAAGAGTGGAATGGGTCCAGTTTCAATATTGTGATTGGGAGAATGCAAAAGATTTAAGTCAGGAAAGTCATTAGCAAACTGCGCCCCAGCAGCAGCTTACCTGCGACCTTGACATGGGTAAGCTGATGCCCACAACATTACAGCTCATCACAGAGAAATCCATAGTTTGTGAGGAGGTCATGGTTGCCTGGGAGGGGCCCATCAAGTCAAAGAGATCAGCAGAATTGGAAGCAGTTGGAGGCTGGGCAGAGGCTGGCTGAAAGCTGCCTAGGAGCTCCACGGCTGGCTGCTGCACAGGGCGGCTCAAGAACTCTCCAGATGGAGCACTGGGACAAGGAGAAGCTTGGTTGAAGGCACTCCAGTCATCAAAGTCTCCATTTTCACTTGTTGCTGTACCTGAAGGGAAGGGCACAGCGTGAGAGGAGATGCTAACAAAGAAAGGTAGAAGACAGGAAGAAGCACACAACAAATGCCATATTCCATGGACTGAAACAAATGAGAGCTGATCTGTGTCCGTCCAGATTAACATCTGCAGGTAGAACCTCCATCTGGACATCATTCCCTCTCATGAATATTCCAGCAATTTTAACAAGGTAGCAAAGGAAATATGCAACACCCACGCACAGACCAAAAAAGACTGTTTGATAACATGTCACCTGTAGATGTAAGACAAGTAGGGAGAGGTTTTAGTCAAAAGACAACTGAAAGATTACTGAGGAGTACATTGCAGGCTGCAGACACACACACAGTCAGAACTGACCACATTTTTTTTCTTTTCTCCATTCAGAGCACTGATATTTTCAGAGACAGTTGTCAAAAGAGTAAATTCGATTATAAAACATAATAGTTCAAAACAAATTTGGTTATAGATAATCAGTAGCTCTTCATACAAAAGAAAAAATACTGACAGGAATAACAACAGAACTAGTAAAGGAAGTTACCAGGGAGTTAACTGAAATAAAGAATACTTTCTATCCTCTTAGATGTTCACATAAAACAAGTTTTTCAGATAAGATTTCTAATCTAAATCTCTTGAAGTAAAAATTCAGTCCTGGACCTAAAAAACCTGCCGGCAGACACTTTGTTGTGCTTAGGTCAGCACGAAAGCTGGGATTCAGTCGGGATTTCTGGACCAAAGGGCACGGAGGGCCAAGGGGCAAGGGTAAAATCATCACAAAAATCTAAGTAATGGCACCAATTTCAGGGCATGAAGGGCACTAACATTCATCAGCTTTGGGCTTTACTAGAATATTTGCTTTGATCTCCCTCACAATGAAGGCCTATTCGAGAGTATTTCAATTAGTATTGCGTATTAAAAATTAAAAACCTACTTTAAATATTCCTGATAGATTAGTAAATGCTGAGTGGGCTGCTTCTGCATTCAGACCTGTGCACTGAGCACACAATAATGGAGTGGGGGTAAAAGGAATGAGGTTTTGCCCCTTTAGTGAAACTTCTAAGATGATTAATCAAGAAGGAAAAGATTTCTAGAGGGGCTTACGCTGCTCAGGAATGATTAATCATTTCACAGCACTCCTTGTCCCTTGCATAATGGCGATTGGAATAGATTAATCACATTAATGCAGATAAAGGATTGTATCAATTTAAGCTGTATTAACACACAAATTATTTGCATAGTAGGCGGCTTTGTGTTTGCAGAGCAACTTAGTTTGGACTCAGGAAGCCCATAAAAAAACAGAACTATTTTTTCCTGCCAAGCAAATTAAAGGTATATTAACTAGTAAGTGCCCAATAGAGATTTCCTACCACAGCAAAAGGAGAGGACTGGCATGCTGACTAAAAGCAGGCCTGCAGGTAACTGATTTTTTTTTTTTTTTTTTTGCTATTGTCTTCTCATGCTAGACCTAATCCTACATCCATGCAACCAGTTGAGTACAAGCCGAGTGCTGATCCAACAGCCTTAAGTGTCAATTCTGTGAATGGCAGACACTTGTTCACAGCCAACTGAAATTAAATTGATATTTTCTAGGTTTCTTTTAAGGGGGAAATAATTTTGTAAGTGAACTGTCATTCGGGTAAGCTAAAAGAAAGGATTGGTCATCTTCACCCCGCAGATGCACATACGTAAATTCAAAACCTCAGCGAGGTTACACTGTACATGGAAGCCCAATTTGACGTATTTCCCCCTCTGCCAGACCCAGCCTTCCAGCAGCAGCCCACACTTCAGTGGAAGCTGGAGAAATAGCGTGTCTATATTCACCTCATTATGCCTTAACAAAGCCAACAATTTTACCCTTCTCTTTAAACTATGACAATAACGTTTTCTTTTAATCTTAAGAGACAGGCAGGATCTGAGGGTGTCCTCAAGTGCTATCATTTTTCTAGCACAGGTGGGCTGCTACTTCCCATTGCTCACCATCCTGCCTCTTTGTTCAACTTTTACAGATGGGCAAGTAGGAGTAACCAATTATTTTATGATTTGGTTCCATGCTTTCAGCAGTACAAGAGTTTAATTTGAACTCTTAGCTAAGTCAAAAGTTCTATTGCTGTTTTCATCATTATTCGCCTATATTCTCTTTATTATATTGTGGATACGCATAAGTCTATGTAATTTACTGTCCAGCCCATATAATTAAAGTTCTTATGACAGATTTGAACCCTCTGTGCATGTCTGGAAGCTACGAACAGCAGCATAAAGCACTTCCGAGCACTTCCCAATTCAGAGCACTGGCACAACTACGCTCTGCAGACTATCTTGCACTCCATGCAAGTCTTCTTTTCTAAATAGGAGATCTACTTCTATCTGATAGCTTTACAAATTGTCAAGTTGGAGTACTAGAAAAAAGATTCTTTGCAAATAAAACAGTTGAGTACTCAAAGTGAGCTTTAAAATGAGATTTGGAGCCATGCTTTATTATATGCTTTTTATTGAACAAGGATATATTTTAAACTTCTATAATGTATTTTTATGACCAAGTTCAGAAAAAAAACTTCAGGTCCAAAAAGACACGTAGTGCTGTGTCCCACAACAGGCCTTTTCCGTACTGAACTTAGCATTTGTGGTCCAGCTAGGTAAAAACCAGAGTTTGCCCAGCAAATGGAGATGCCTGTCAGTACTGCCGTGGGGCATCCCGTTCTCATCCCTCAACATCTCAGTCTGCAAATTATCCTACCTTGCGAGGATGGGAAACTTGCTGAAGCAGCAGCTGAGTTAAAATCAGCAAATCCTCCAAACGGGTCAGGAGATCCACCTAGAAACAGAAGGAAGTGAAATGCAAAGGACCGTGCAAAGATCCGCTGCTTTAACTGCACGCGGGATTCACGAAGAAAAGCTGCCCCGTGCTCGGCGAGATGCATTTATTGATTCCGCTCCGTAAGTCTGCACTGTTTTCCCCTATTCATCACCACACTTTACATACACAAGCCTGAACAACAAACTGGAATATTCCCAACTGCATTGCAGATCTTGTTTTTTTTCTTTTTTTTCCCTTTCTTTTCCTCTTTTTTTTTTCTCCCCCCTAAGAAACAATGTCAAGATACAAGCTGTTCTTATGACCTCTAAAAATAAGTTTTGAGAGATCTAAAAAAATTAACTAGGAATAAGCTAGATAATGATGGCATTAGTTTGGCAGTTGATGAAATTAAAACTTTTAAAGTATAATAGATAAAAACCAAATATGTATTGGAAACATCGCTAATTTATTATGCTGCTTGTCATGAAAAATTAAATGTCTTATATTTAGTTATGTTACTTAAAGCATGAAAGATTTTGCAATGATCTGGAGGACAGAACTTGCATTTGTGCGATTTTTTTGTTTGTTTTTAAATAACTTTTCTTCCTTTCCACAGCAGGAACATTAAGTTTTCCAACCAGACATTTTTATACTAGCAAATAAATTATTAATTTCTGAAGACAACATAGTAACATTTTTTTCATTTTAAAAAATACAGCCAAGCTACAAGAAAACCCTGTAACAATTATATACTAGAAAACAAAAGTATTTTTTCAAATCCAAAACCTAGTTGACAGCAATCAGCCAATTATTCTCACTGCTGCTTTTAGGCAGCTATTCCACTGACCCAAGAAAGCCAAAAAGTTGCGTGGAGTTGTTTGTCCTCAAAGATTTAACCTCCAAACAGCCTCCCCCCTCTTTGAAGAAGCTGCAGCAGTTCAATTATTTTGCTTTTAGTGTTATGTGTACATTATATAGGTTACATCACAGCTGCTTAGCCTGCAGTGCTTAGAAACTAGCCAGGTGGGACCGGAACATCTGTGCTGCACTCAAACACCACCAGGGACAGCTCCAACATCTGGTGCCATTTCTGAATTGTCTTATCGCTGCAAGACATTCTGCCCCATCTGCTACTCTCAACTGGGTTAATTAAACTAGAACCATCTCCTTTTTAATAAATGGCTAGCAGTAATAAAAGGAACCATTCACTTTGTGATACATGTGCACTTGTATTTCTTTTTAATGTTATTTTACTGTAGACCGTGCCAGCAAGGCGACTGTTCTTCCAAGGGGAAATGGCCTTTTCTTACTATGTGTAGCATATGAGATAAAACATGAGAGAAGGGAATGCAAGGACAGTCTCAGAGTTTTCAGGAATATATCCCTATTGTAGTTTTTACCACCTTTTCAAAATGGAAGCTATTTCACACAAAAATTTCTTCATCACAATTTCTGCTATGATCTTAAAAGTACCCTTCCGTAAGTTAATATAAAAGTTTTATATTAAGTATACCCTTAAAATGAAAAGGGTAGGATAAGCCAGTGAAATATTAAGCCAAAAGCTATGCTGATTATCTTAACTGTGCACTGCAATTAACATTTTCATAGCATCTTTTTTTTCATGTGCATCCTTGTTAGAGAGTTCAAAATAGGTTAATGGTTTGGGTTTTTTTTAATACGCAGAATGAGCAAAACAGAATTTGAGACCACAGCATCTATCAGGCCACATCATCAAAAAAAGAAAAAAAAAATCAATAGCATGCCTATTATTCCTGGACTTCTACACAAATAACTAGGAATTAATTTAATTTTGAAACCAGAAACAAGATGAAACCTAAGATAACTAGTCAACTTTTTTCTCCATCTCTTATTTGCCTGTTTTTAAATGAATCGCTGAGTCTGAGAAAGATCGAAGAGCGTAAGATGAGTGAAGTAATTATCTACAGAAAGGCATCATCAGAAAAAACTTCCAGAAGGTCCAACCGTGGATTCTGCCTCATCTTACTCCTTGCTACCAGTCCTCCCCGTCACAAACCAGTCGTGCTGCTTTAGTAACGTGCAAACCTGCACAGCTCAGCACCTTCCTTCCAAGGCTCTGCACACAGACGAGTACGTTCTGAGTTCCTGGCACTCACAGCACTTCCCTGCCAATTTCTTCACAGCGCAGATCAAAGGCTGCATCTGACCCCTTCCCTGTGTCTGCTGTGACACGGGGAACGTTCCCACACCCTGTGCTGCAAGGAGCACTGGTCGTAACAGATGACCTGCACGTGAAGGACAGTGCTAATCCTCTCAACAGGAGCTATCCTCAAAGATTCCCATGTGAGATTTGTCACTATAAATGAACCCTTTCCATCTGCCTTCCCAGGTCACCAAAGAGGTTATTTAGCAGGGCCAGCTGGTAACACGCCTCTCCTCAACACCAATTCTAAATGCTGCTTTGCAAAAGAGAGAGAAGGGAAAAATAATAATAAAAAAGCTTTCTACAGCAAAGAACCAAACTGATAAAAGATTCAAATATGCCAAAATATGAAAGCTGTCTTAGCTTTCTTTGAAAGAGAGGCAAGTCCAATTTGAAGTGAAAGTTCAAATTCACTTCAAAGTTGAATTGATTTAAAATGCAGTTTCACATTAAAAGAGTTAAAGGGACAGTTTTTATAATGAGCAGTTTTCTTTGGGGCAGCACTTTTATTTTGGTGTTGCAGTTGAGATCAACCAAGGGCCAAGATAACATGAGATAAAGAAACAAGTCTACCATATAGTTTAGATGAAGGTTTATATGAACATCATCCATTTCCAGACCTGCCAAGTCCTTAACTGCATTATAAGAAACGCTTAAAACTGAATGGATTGCACTTACTTTTAGACTTAATTAAAAATAACTGCATTACGAACGCAGTTTTTGACAGACTGATCAGGTAGTTCATCTTGGCATTGCTAGCTTTAATCCTATGCAATGCTACCACAAAAGATTCTAGGTAGCGATTTTTAAATTTATTTATTCTTCTATTTATGTAGTAGCATTTCTCAGATAAACTATGTCCATTCTCAGAATTAGTTCTTCAAAATATGCATTAAGAATGTAAAAGCAGAATGGGCTTACCTGTTGAGACTGGCTGACTGGCTCCATCAAACAACAGATCGACCAAGTCATTAGATGGCTTGCTGCCAGAGGGCACAGAAGCCTGAAGAAACCACACAATTAATCTTCTCTTACCCCCAACCAATTCTTAAAAGAAAAAAAATCTGGTAAGTGCAGCCTTTATAGGTTCCTGCCATTTAAACTGCACATTCACTTTGGTACAAAGTTTGTACAAGAAGAATCAAAAAGCCAGACTAAAAATTGTGTCATTTGTTCATGGATAAGACTTCTGCATTTAGGAAAAAGGGACCAGAAGGAAATACTTAGCACTTGTACAGCTCTTATTACACCAACTAGGGCTAAAAGCAGTAGAAAAATAGAAGCAAATAGTAATAATGTATCTGTTTTACTATCATGAATAACTGTCTCATGAAAAAAGGAACAGGTGAAATTCTAGTAGGACAAAATGTTCCACTTGATCCATTTTTCCTTTAAACACACAGAATATCTAAATACATGGAAGTGTAAAATTGATTTGTACAAGCAAGCATAGCAGAATTTTCTGAGAAAATAATCCTGGAATATCTGAAATAAAGAGATGCTGAAAAGACAGCTTAAAATTCAGGCAAGTTGAAAATGCTACACAGGCAATTGAAAATAATCTCGTTGAAGTGTCAGCTGTATTGCTTGCAATGTCTAAGAACAGAGCCTAAAGCCATGCAATTTTAAGTCACCAGATGTGAAATGACATTTGAAATGCAGGTATTCACCTATTACAAAACTAACAGCACTTTTTAAAAATGATTTTCTCGATTTTTTTTTTTTTTTTTTTTGGAAACAGCCTATTTGGCTTTGAAGCCAGTCTAAACTTCAGATCAAATACTGACCAATCAGTGGCTGAGATTTCTTTCTGATAACTGAAGAGCTTGCCAATTTGGCAACAAGTATGCAGGTTCAGGGAATCCTTCACACATAAGGCTAAAATTTTCACATTGACTAAACAGTAAACGTGGTAACGCCTTCATTAAAACCGAAAAAGAAGCAAAACAAAAAACCATTACATCTTAAAATGATCACAGAAGATGCATTCTATAATTAAACATTTCATAGCCTTTGAAAAATCCTACCTTACTATTTTTTGATAAAATACTTCCCCTGAATGTTGTATAACAAAAAATGTGTTTCTAATAGGAAGCTGTTTTAGAAGAGCACTGATTCCAAAGCCGTGTTTTTGTGCTCTCCTGTTGCCTCACCTTTCCTGTAGACTGTGCAGTGTGAGCAGCGTTCTGCTTTGGACTTGTTTTATCCCCTGTATAATGTGCTGCTGCTCCCAAGTCAATGGTTTTAGAAGGATTTGCTGTGCGTTTTTGCCTGGTGGTAGTAGTTTCTGTAGCCTGTGTAATATGGATATGTTTGGTTGTTACGATCTCCTCTTCGTCTTTAAACTCAGCTTTGGGAGATTTACCTCTTCTTGATTTTTCCTCATCACTGTCACTAGAAAAACAAAAGCAATAGAAAAACATTAGTTTGCATTATTTCTTGCTTAATTCTGTGGACATTTTGCTTGGGTCCTAAAAGCTTTGCTTACTATAGTTCTACATAGTGATGATTAATAATGAAGAAATAGTAATACTTCTTCCTACATTTCATCCTTCTAGCATGCACCACGAAGGCTGTACAGCACTACACCTATTGCACATATGAGGGAAAGAAAGGCAAGTTATTCTGTTCAACGCTGCACAGAAAGTTCATGGCAGAAGTTGAAAGGAATCTGGCTATTTAGTTACCTTCTGACAGGATCTCCCCCTCACATTATATAACTCCTCAGAGAAAAAAGTGAAGTTGGCAAGTCTGCTCAATACTTGCACCACAACAGAGAAGGTGACAGTAAACCAAATAAAGGTATCACCTATCAAATTTCAAAAATAGCACCTATTTCTCTTTGCAGCTAAGCAAGATTTTATATAGAATATTTGTAGAAAAAAATGTTTACACAATCATGCAGTGCTACTATTCATTTTCTACCAGCAAACACACATTTACTTTTTGAATATAGAACAGAAGCATCACCATTTTACATGAAAACTTCTTGGACACTGCATAATATTTGTTTATCCTATTAAGTGTTATGCTCTTACATTTAAAGCCTTTTTGACACAAACAAGACAATGTTCCCCCCGCCCCTCAACAGCTGTATTAGAAAATGGGGTAGGATTTCTATGTTACAGTGCAAACTGCTGTGGAGGAAGCTTAAATACATTGAAAATTATTTTGAAATAGCAATTCCCTTTTGGGCACGCAGTTGAAAATGGAAGGTTTTTGTATTTTAATAATGCATTAGAATACTAAAACTGCAAAATTTAAGAAAGGATGTCCCTTTGTCAGTGGGACTATGACAGTAACTGCACTATACTCTGGAGGGTACCTTTGTTCTGATAACAATAGTAGGCTTTTTGGAATACATTGCATGTGCCTCATTTCCTCTGTGCATATTACCTACTCACCACGGGGGACGGCTCGATTCATTAACATCAGTGAATACAAGTGCCCAAACGCCCCCATTTGTTAAAAAAAGAAAAAAAATGAAAGAAAAAGGCAAGTACAACTGCAGGCCAACCTTGTGGCTACCAGCATCAGCCTGAGGCAGCCCGTTACCAACAGGTGGGTCCCACATCACCACCCATCCCTTCACAACCCAGGCACTTCCAGTCTGACTTGCTAACAACAGGCCAGTGCTGCCATTTGGGAATTCTGTGCATCCGCTTCCACTGCTTATGCACCCAAATAGACGGGACCCACTAAGCACTTTTTGTTTGTGACATTAGGGTTTTAATGCAAGCTCCCAGAGAAGACCAATTTGCACATTAGCACAGTGCATAATCCCACACTGCTGAAGCTTTGGGGATTTAAGCTCTCTTTTAAAGTACATAAAACCAGGACAAATCACAACTAAGGCTCAGCCCGTAAAAACCTGCTGCAATGTAGCTGGTTTCCACATGCACCTCTGGGTTGAGCAAGTGATTGACAGGCATCAAACTCTGATCAATGGAGTTCCTGCAATGGAACTGGTAGCAATTAATCCCACTAATGTGAGAATGGGAATAAGTGACTAGCGAGCTACAGCAAAACGTCTAAAAGCTTTTGAGCAAGGAAATTGAACGTATATGCCAGAATGTAGGACAAACATTACAATACTCAATTTTCTCTGACAACCTGTACCACTTCAAAACTGCCTCAGGGGATCTTCCCCCCTCCCTCCTTTTCTTTAATGGTCACATAATGAAACATTATAGATTAATGTTCCTTCTAAGTATTTACTATGCCCAGAATAGTAAAATTGCAGTGCTTCATCAGAGAATTACACAATGAATGGAAAAAAAAGTTATAGATAGTGTTGTACCAAATGTACTCTACAAGCTCTACAAGAAGTAGATGGTTACAACTTCTATAAACCAAGTTATGGTGATGGGCTCTTCCTGGCTCTTCCTTAGGCTGAGGTTTTTTTTTTTTTTTTTTTTAAAAAAAGAAAACAATAGCCCTTAAAGCAATAGTTTACTGCTAATTTGAGATCATCTAAAACAACCTGCTGCAAAGCTAATGCTCTACATGAAAGCTGCTTCAAAGACACACAGACTCAGAGCTGTGGATCATTTTATAGGACAGCCAAATAATGTTTTGCTTCTTTTCTATCCTGTTATCTGCATAAACCAATTTGAATAGCACAGAAACAAGGATTGACAGAGTTAAAGAATTTTTATGCTAAGAGTAACACTTCACAAGAACATCTGTGTATTTACAAGTAATTTAAAGGGTACAATTCCAAAACACAAGGCTAGAATTGGGGCAGCCATTGGTTTATTTGTCTAAAAAGTACAAACCAACAAGCACTACAGAAGAAAACTGAGGTATTCCTTCCCCTCTGAGCGTAATTTCCTGGTCTTCTCTAATTGTAAGGGGATACTGAAAAAGGACTTCAGGTCTTCACAGCAATATAAGCATTTTTCTTCTATGAGAAAACGTAGATTAGGTTTCTACAGAGTTAGTTGCGTGAATTGCAGTTTCAATTAATTCTGCTATAAAACAGCTACAAGCTAGATTACTACTTGAGTTACTTCAGCATCTTTTGAGGGGAAGAAAGAACTGTCAGTTTCATAAATTCAGATAGAAATGCAAAACCTGCATCAAGCTTTCCTGCTGCATCCTGAAAGAGACTCATCTGAACTGTTACCCCTTCTAAAAATGAAGGAATCAGATTCATCCTGTCTTAGCACTTCAAAACTTTTATTGGCTTTACAGTTCAAAAGAAATAATGATTTATAAAGCTATCATATTAGAACAACAAAAAACACAACAAGCAGATTTGCAACCTCAGTGAGCATCACCAGCCACTCTTAGGAAGATATTACTGTAATACAAAACATCCTGGCATACTAGCAGAATACAAATAAAATAGAAAGTGTTTTGGAAACTTTCTGATTTTAGAAAGCAAATTTGCTTCAAGTCCAGAAAAACAGAAGTACAAGGACTTCACAAAGCATTTAGAACAAAGTGCTTTGTTGTGAGCTCCAGTCACATATGATTATTAAAAATCCATCTTCTCTATTTATTGAAGTTCCAGTATTTAGCTTTGTATTTGTATTCAGTCAATACACTATTAATACGAATTACGAAGTTTGTTATTTACAGTAGCTTTAGGTATAAACAGACATTCTACTACTTGGGGTTCAATCATCTTAGATACTTGTGCTAACACCTCAAAGAATGATGCCTTTTTACAAAGAAATCCATAAATTTCAACTTCTCCAATAAAATACCTTCTATACAAAACCTAAATCGAGAATCAAAAATGTAGTTTTATTGAAGATCATTTTAATTTGGTGCAGAGATGTACAGTCAGGAAATCCAAACACCCTGTTATGGCACAAGACAAGGTAGACTGCGGAAGGGACAGTCTAACACACTGGAAAATGCAAGACTTCACCAGCACAAGCAAAAATTCAGAAGCCATTTAATGAGGAGGTAGAAAGAGAGGCAGTATTTGCTTACAGCACATGCTTTACATGAACTATGGCCAGAGAGCTTTACAGACTTCACGTGACAAGTTGCTTTCGAAAGCTAAGTACAGAAGAGCACAGAGCAATGCACCATTGTTCAACCCGAAATTGTTTACCTCTCTTCTGATCCTTTCTCTTTGTAGTCTATTGATAGTAAGTTCTAAGAGGGAACCCTGATGTGTGCAAAGAGTACCAGATCTATGATTTATTAATGTTCAGGCAAGGCCAGGCTGCCTTTTGCTCAGAAATGCTACTGTTGGGAATTTTTTTTGGGGGGGAGTAGGTGTACACATATATGCATATGCATCTGTATATATATGCAAGTTTCTATATAAAAGCATGGATATATTTGAACACACTATAGAAAGTACCATATTAATCCTATCTCAGTGCAAATTTGAATTTTAAGCTGCTTCTCAAAAGGAAATTTCAATATATTTGGGCTTTTTCTCTGCAGCAACTTCAGATTCTAAGAATAGATTTGATCTCTAGATAATAAAATTCAATACACCTATTGAAGGTGCATTTAACCCTCTTCCTGCAGGCAAAGTAGTACAAATTTTCTTCCTTACTGAAAAATAGCCAGATGTGAAATATGACAGGTTTGTTCTGAGGTTCAATTCAAATTGACACAATTTTCTTCATATTTCTCACAGGTGAGCTCAGGGAAGCAGCAGCACAAATACAAGCGCCAACGGACTCGAGCACTTTTCTACATCCTTCTTCACAGGCACTTCAGCAGTTACAGTAACTGCAGCATGAAATGGGACCCTCAAGTACCCTGGCACAGGACAGACCACTGAAAAGCTGAGACAAGCACGGCCTTAGGAAATTCCAGCCAAATCCCCTGCCTTGCCAGCAGCCTTCTAAGCAAGGGGCTGTCATGGAAGGTGGCCAACAGCAGTTAACTCTGAGCTGCATTATTCCCTAGGACTGCACAAGAAGTCCAGAAAACAGGTTTTGACCCTAAAGACATTTTCATATACAAAAAAAGTCTAACTAGCAAACAGCAGTGTCAAAGAGCTTTATTGTAACAATTTCACAGAATAAATTTATGTTAAAAATAGCTCTAGTACCTGCATCTTTCTGGAGAGTCTTCTCTATCTTTCCTTCGGAACTTGCTGATGGTATCATCAATTCTGCTTCCAATTTTGTCACTTAGCTCACCTAGTTTATCGCTGAATGGGAAAGCAGGTTTTTTATCCCACTCGTCATCCCATTTTGATTTGGGCTCAGGGTCATATCTTTCACCTGTATACGGTGTTGAGACAAGAAATAATGAAGATAACAGCAAAAACGTGCCTGCAGTCCTTTTAGAAATCATCACAAGCCCCCCTCCCCTACAAACATAAACCTTACAAGTTTTCAAAGCAATCTGAAAGCTCCCACCGTGAATCCACAGTATTACAGCAAGGCCCAGCATGTAATGCCAATCATTAAGTGGCAGGAAT